CCAGCAGCAGCAGCAGCAGCACCAGCAGCAGCAGCAGCATCATCAGCAGAATCACCAGAATCACCAGAATCACCACCATCGCCACCACCGCGCCACCATCGCCACCGTCGCCACCACCACCACCACCACCACCATCATCACCCTCACCGTCACCGTCACCGTCACCCTCATCATTACCACCACCACCACCGCCACCACCACCACCACCACTGCCACCATCTTCATCGCCTCCATCATCGCCACCATCACTTTTCTCTGGAACCCAATTCAACACTAGACCTTCGGCATCTACACCTCTAGACTCTTAGACCTCTAGACAGACTCTTGGGGGTCCCTTGCTTGGATGATTACTAATTAAATCGACTAATCACTGTAGTCAACCTCTTATTTGAAAACACACATCCTTAGACACTTGTGCTGCGTGCTATTTTTGAGACATCTCTACTTGATACAAGTGTCTCCCGAAACCCATGCCGTTATGCAGCCTAACTTTTTTTGCTCGCCAAGCCCACAAAACACTCGAAAGGGACGGCCCTTCAGGACCTGTGGGCGACCCGCACAAGCTTCACAGGGGTGGGATTTCGGGGGCTCAAAGAACCTGTGACAGAACAGATTCACTTCAAACTTCGCCGAAGTCATGTTTTGTTGTTTGGGCCTTTCAAGGAGATCGAACGGAGGTGGTGGCGGACACCAGCGAATTTGCAGCCACATTGGGAGCCACTGTGCTGGTGCTGAACCATCTTCATGACAATCCCCCGCAGCTGGATACTGGGGAGTGGATTCAACAGCTGCAATTGGTTGCGAATGAGTTCACATCAGCTATCAACTCATTGCTGCAATCAACACCTGCAGGTTCCACCTTGGCTTCTGCGCTTCTGGCAGCGCTCAATGCTGTTCGGACCAACTCAGAAATAGTGTCCTTGAACGAGAATGAAGCGCTCCTTTATGCTCGTGCATTTCATCAGAAAGGCTTTTCCATGCGCCTCTTTCGCAAGCTCCTAGCAAGTGGTGGCTACCGATGGGTCAAAGCATCAAAAGGTGCGAGAGACAAACGGTCACATGACAAACACATGTTTTGTTTTCTCAAATTTCAATGCCTTGTCTTCACTCCCGCGAACCCTTCAGGCGACATGATCCATAGAGCCGAAGATGGAGACGTCAAGATCTTAGTACAAGGAACTGCGTCGAGGGTCGGCGACGATTTGCCACAGGGAAACATCAAAGGTGGGCAAATGATCTTGGAGGAGTCCATTGACGTCATTGCATGCGAGGACGTGGTCTTTATTGCCTGGGACAAGGCAGGCCATGACAGTGTGAGATTTGTGTGAAGATGGTATGTATATGGTTTCCCGCCCCCGGGGGTAAAGAGTAACAGACCTGTCATTCCTTATTCCGTAGTGTTTCGGCTTCAGAAGGTGAATGAGCGCCTGTAACGGGTGCAATTCCCGCCTTCGGAGGCCAGTGGGAAGCTCGGGGTATTGTGATCCCTGCTGGCTAGTTGTCCAAGTGGAACGATTAGTGTTCACGAGGTGCCCTCCCCATACAGTCGGTGATCTCACTGAATATCTCAAGACTGTTACTGCCACCTTGGAACGAACCTGCGAGAAATTCGAGGCCGACCGCGCCGCTGGCTTTGTGAAGGAGGACGGGGAGCCTATCCCTGGAGCACGTGAGAGGATCTTGGCAAGCCGCGCCGGAAAGGGCTCTTTCGAGCAGGGCATTCATCGAGGCGAGAAGGACAAGGAGGCATCGTCTATACACGGAGGGCTTCATCAGACAGCGTCATCGTCAAGAAGGAGAAGGAAGCAGAATCGGGGAAGGAGACCCTGGTTGACGCAAAGGAGAAGAGGGCAACAAAGAGAGAAAGATCGAGGAGGCGCAGGAGATCAAAGAGTGCGACCAAGAGGTCAAGGTCGAGACATCGATCAAAGCGAAAGGAAGCGAAGGAGAAGTCGGGGACGCCTGACCCTGTGACGAGTGAGGTTGAGAAGACCCCAGAAGAGAGACCCAGGCCTTCAGCCAGGGTAGACTAGACAGAGGAAGTGCCAGAGGAGGAAGAGGTATACGCACAGGAAGAGGAGGAAGACGACGACGAGGAATCCGGAAAGAAGCTTGAGCTCAAGAGGACCGCGAAGCCTTCAGCCCGCAAGCCATTGCCACGGCCGAGGTCACCTTCATACTCTCCACCCGGGTACCACGACCGCGGAGGTCAGCAGCCCAAGAAGTGGAAGGGTCTCAAGCACGTCATTCGAGGACAGTTGTATTACAGCACTGGCTCCCAGAGGAACAAGGGCCCAGGGAAAAGGAAAAGGTAAGAGATGGCACCGAAAGTGATTCGAAGGCTTGCCGCTTTGCCTCGACGGGCCGGTGTTTTGAGGAGACCAGCAGCAGCAGAGGACGGGGGCCGGGGGGACATCCCTGCCCTGAGCGAGGAGTTGAGAGTGGGCGACATCATCCACGGCGAGGATTGCAGTTATTATGGAACTCCATGCCAGATCAGCGGGAAGGTCGTGGAGGTATGGAAAGACCTTTCAGGGAGCTACTACAACGTGCGCCTCTACGGCACGAATGCAGAGAACCTGCTCACCTGGGCGAGTGGCAGCACGGATCTCGCCCGGATACACCTCTGCTCCCCCGAGTGTGGGCAGGAATCGGTGGGGCCAGGTTTACTCCACTGCATGAAGCATCGGGGCCTACGGTTTGGAGGAGATTCGAGACCTGCCCTGGAGAGACGTCCTACTGAGTGCAGGCCGCAAGGAGGAGGACGAGCTCGCCGGACATTGTGGTCCCCGCAGCGGCCGTTCCAGGGAGGCTCCGAAAGAGGTGGAAAAGGAAAAGAAAAAGAAGAAAAAGGAAAAGGTAAAGAAGAAGCGTGCGAGGAGTTCTTCCAGCAGCTCAAGGTCTTCGAGCACGAGTTCAGAGGTGAAGCGCAAAGCAGTCGAGCAGAAGGTTATGTTCGGGGGGGGTGGCCTCGATCCCCTGAAGAAGGCCAGAAATCGACGGAGGAGGAAGGCGCAAAGGTATGCTCAGCGCACGCAAAGCCGAAGAGGAGAGGACAAGAGCAATTCGAGCAACGAGGAGACCTCCTTGAAGGGCCAGGCCATTTTTGGCGAACCCCAACGCGTTCGTGCAGTGGCAATGAACTTTCCCGGAGTTCTGTCGGCTCAGACGATCGAGAATATGCAGGAGCTGATGCTGGCCGAAGCTGGGCAGGAGTCCAATCAACAGGATGTTTGGGTCCCTACGCTCTTGAAATATTACCGACAGATGCTGAGTCGGCGAGTTTCTGGCTCTATGAACACAGAGCTGCACGCGCTATGTACAGTGGGAGATTTGGCCAGCTCCCCGAGGCCATGGACACCCTCACTCAGAGGGTGAAGTCGCTGGAAGCCCAAATCAGTGGGCTCGCATGGACGGCCGCTCAGCGGCTGGAACTTCTTCCCACCGATACACCTACGCTATCGTCAAGGCAGGAGTTGAAGATAGCTACAACAGAGCAAAGGGCAGAAGCGCAAGCCCACCAGAGCGGCTCGTGGTGGAGCAAAGGATCAGGCAAGGAGAGCGGAAAGTCCGAGAAGGCAGACAAGGGCAAAGGAAAAGGAAAGAAGGGAAAGGAGAAACCCAAGAAGGATTGACATCGCCCGATGGTGTGCTGGCGGGCCCGGACGGGCTTGAGGCTGGGAGTACGGGGCATTTGACCCTTGTGGCATCCAGTTCGAAGCCGCGCAGCAACACAACAGTGGCAGCGGGGGTGGAGCGCCCTGAAGCAATCACAGAAGGACGGGGCAGGAGCCCTGATATGATGGATGGAGACTCTATGATGTTGGGTGCGGGTGGCGCTACTTTGAAGGAGCTGACGCCTGTCAACCCAAGGCCTGGGAGGCCGCACGGAGGCGCTACGATTCGTACAGCAGTTGAGAGGGGGCAGGACGCCCTGGGGATGTCGTGCAGCTCAGCGCCCAGCGAGGTGGCGCTTGGGCTGAAGATGCCCCTCTCGCACCCGGGGTCCATCCCCGCGGACCGTGATGGTTCGAAAAAAGGCGTGCGCGGTATTCCGATACATGAGACGGGATGTATTTTGGGCGAGAGCTTACGGTCGGTTATTTCGCTCTGCAGCCAGTCCACGGGAAGGGAGATCGGAGAGGAGGTACAGGTGAAACAAACATCCACATTTCCCCTCCCAACCGATCGTGAGCTTATCTTTTCATTCATTCTTGAAGAACATGCATGGACAGTTGAATGGTTGAGAGGTATTTGCATTGCATTGAATTCATTTTGGGGGTGCCCAGACCCAACGCTTCAGGAACAACCGCGGGGAGATCAACGCCGCTCAGCTACGAAGATGCAGGCCCGGATCCTGCGTGGGCTGACGGACGACGTGACTAGGCTGAAGGAGGTTGAAGAGGTGACGGAAACGTTCGATTGTGGGGAGATTTTTTCAGGACTCGCACGATTGACTACAAGGGTGATGAAGTGAAGACTGCTTTGGGATTTTGTTGGAAAAACATTGCGCCCGCTTTGCCAAAGTGGCCAAGCTGGTAGACATCTGTGAACAAGGGTGCAAGCACTACATCGAGAATTTCCCATCCTACCTCAAGGCACCAAATGAATGGGGGCCCCTTAGGAAGTCTCGGGTGATGGTCAAGGAGGATGACTGGTTTGATGTTGCCGACGGGCTAATGCAGGCGGGGATCTTTGGAGTAGTCCCTGAGTCAGAGGTCTTTAGAGTGGGCGGTCGGTTGTTGGTGAACGGGTATTTGGAGTTGAGAAGAACGAAGAAGTGAATGGGATTCCGATTTACCGCCTTATCATGAATCTCATGCCGCTCAACGACCTTTGTCAAGGACTAGCTGGAGATATACAGACACTTCCTCATTGGTTTGGTATGACACCCTTCCATATCGAGGCGCATGAGAACCTTGTGGTTTCAAGTGAGGACTTGCGGTGTTTCTTTTACACCCTGGCTCTGCCCCCTTGCTGGTTCCCTTTCCTCTGCTTCAACAAGCCCCTGCCTGCTCGATTGGTCCCTGCTGCACATAAAGGGGAGGTTTGATATCCTTGCTCCAAAGTCTTGCCTATGGGGTTCCTCAATAGTGTGGGGATCGCGCAGCACGTCCACCGCACGCTGGTGCTGCGTTCACAACAACACAACCACGCCAGAGACACGGAACTTTGTGAGATCCGCAAGGATAGAACACTTCCGGCGGGAGCCACGAGTTGGCGTGTTTATTTGGACAACTATGACCTTCTGGAGAAGTACCCTCGTGAAGCTCTATTGGAAGACTCGGGGACCACAGCCCCTGAAATAGAAGCGCTGAGAGCGGAATACCTTGAGTGGGGACTCCCACGTCATCCTAAGAAAGGAGTTAGCCGGCAGGTGAAAGCGGAAGTCCAGGGCGGTAGTTGATGGTCAACGGGGATTGCCAGAAGCTGTCGAGGTACATCACCATAGCTCACCAGCTCATGCAGGAGACGCATGCAACACAGCGACAGATGCAAGTGGTCTGTGGAGGCTTGGTGTACTTCTCCACTTTTAGACGCCAGCTTCTCGGAGGATTGAACCTCTGTTGGAACTTCATCGAGTCCTTCAATGTGCGAGGTCGGCGTTGGCTACCTATTCCGAGAAACGTCAGGTTGGAGATTCGCAGATTCCTCTGCCTCATCCCATTATGCCGGATGAATTTCCGTCTCGAGATGAATCCCCTTGTGACTTGCAGTGACGCTTCACAGCATGTAGGAGGAGTTTGCGCAGCCACGCTTGACCCGATTTGGTGAGCAAGTCGCTTGCGGGGGGAGGTCCCTGGAGATGCATAGCCAACGCGGGGGTCGAGTCCTAAGCATTGGGCTGTTCGATGGGAAGCTTGCGGGTGGCCCTGGACCTTTTGGGATGCGATGTTGCGGGGCACATATCCATTGAGAAGGATCCTTGTGCCAGGCGGGTGGTTGAACATCACTTCCCGGGCACAGTACATTACCCCGATGTCGCCGAGGTGGAGGAAAAGGACGTGATCAGCTGGTCGTTGACTTTTGGACAATTCGAGATGGTCATTCTCGGGGCCGGTCCGCCCTGTCAAGGGGTGTCAGGACTTAACAGTCAGCGCAAGGGCGCCTTGAAGGATGAGAGGTCATGCCTATTCGTCCACGTGAAGCGCCTGCAGAGCATAGTACAATTGCACTTCCCCTGGGCACAGGTACATACCCTCATGGGGAGCGTGGCATCCATGGATGAAGAAGACAAGGCTATCATGTCGCAGTCCTTCGGGGACATTCCCTGGTCATGTGATGCCGGAAGTCTGACTTGGTGCAATCGAACCTTTACTACGTCACGGCCGAGGAGTACACGTGGACATAGGCCTGCTGGCCTTCATGCAGAGTTGTGATGACGAGACCGTTCGTCGGTGGGAAGCGGATTGCCATAGGTCCCCACCCTACCAATACCTACCGCGTCACTGCTTGGTAAATCGCAGACAGGAATACAGGATCCCGAGCATTGCCGAGAGAGAGTACATGATGGGTCTGCCGGTGGGGTACACCCAAATGTGTATGAGCAAGAACCAGCGCAAGACCACGGACTACAACGACAAGCGGCTCAGCCTTATTGGAAACGGATGGTCCGTCCCGGTGGTGGCTTGGTTGCTGGGCCAGGGGCAATTGGTTGGACCACGGGGCCTAGGCCCTGCCCTTACGCCGGCATAAGTGATCGATCGCTTGAATCTGGAGGGGAACCCATACATACAGTCCAGATTGATGCGTCCACCGCTGAAGATAGACAAGACCCCGTCCAGCTTGAGCGAAAAGACCCTGATACAGCAATTGGCGGGGCTGGTTTCCACAAAAGGTGCAGACTTGATGCTGAACAGCACTCCAGATGAGATTCAAGGCCATCAACGCCTGCGACGCACAGTCAACCCGAAGATGTGGCAGTGGAAGGTCATTTCGGGTTGGAAATGGGTCGGAAGTCAGGAGCGCATCAACTCTTTAGAGCTTCGTTTGGCTTGCATCAGGTGGCGTTTGGAGCATCTCCGAAACCATGATTGTCGAATCCTCCATTTAACCGATTCTTTAGTATGCCTTCACAGTATGACGAGAGGAAGAACATCGAGCCGACGCCTGAGGAGAACCTTATGCTGAATCAACTCGCTCTTGCTAGCGCGTAATCTGAGTGGCCTGTGGGGATATGTAAGCACGGACCTCAACCCGGCGGATCGTCCGTCGCGGTGGGCTGTGCGCACCAAATTTCGTCATGCCAAAGGTCGTCTTTGAAGGAACGACGAGCTAGAAGAGCGCAAGATCGGCAGAAGTTAGGCACACTTAGGCAGTTGACCGTTCAACCGTCGACAAGAGCTCGTTATGAGAAGGCGTTATCAAAGTTTCTCGGTTTCCTCAAGGCCGATGCCTCGAGGTGCCGCGTCGTCGTGAGCACTTAGATCCTTTGGCCATGGAGTACATAGAACATTTGTGGATATCGGGGAAGGGCGTGGTCTGGCCGCCGACGCCCTGGCTTCCCTGCAGGACTACGACACGAAGATTCGGGGGCATCTCCCTGGAGCATGGAGACTTGTCAAGACGTGGGTCACCCATGAGCTCCCAAATCGGGCGCCGCCATCCCTATAGTTCATGAAGTCGTCCTGCAAGGTATGGTAGGATGGGCATTGTACCACGGCCATTTCGCATTCGCTACAAGTCTGCTAGTGTGTTTTTACGGCGCTTTAAGGACCGGAGAGCTGCTAGACATCGCCCGCAACCGAGTGGAGATTTCCTCAAAACTTCGTACGGCTGTCATAGCCCTAGGGCTCACAAAGGCCGGAAAGCGCGCCGGTGTCCAGGAAAGCGTTTCTTTGGGACATGACACAGTTTTTCGCTATGTACAGCACTGGACTCACCTTACGTCACCTCACCAGAAACTCTGTCCCTCTCCCCCAAGGTGGAGAAAACTGTTTAAGTTGTGTGTTACCAGCCTCCAATTGGAACCATTGGAGCTCAGACCGTACTCGCTACGGCGATGAGGAGCCACATGGTCGTTCAGTCAACACGGAAACCTGGATAGAGTAATGGTTTTGGGCAGGTGGCAGGCCCAAAAAACCGCAAGGTTGTACCTGAACGAGTCAAGGGCCATTTTGGCCGAGATGCAGTTAGGACCTTTAGAGAAGATTTTGGCACCTTACCGAACCTTTTTCCAGAATTCAAACCCCAGGTCTTTTGAAACACTTGAGCCATTGCAAAGCAACAGGCCGTCCTCGGTCAAGCGAGGCCTGGAGGGACTTGGGAGGAAGAGAAAGAATTCCAAGCCTTTTAAAAAAACCAGCAGCGAGGTGAAAAAGAATCTGGTGTCCCTCAGGACCCGGCCAGGGTTTGGGGTGTGGCCCACCTGGTCGGGGGGGGGACGATTGTCCGGGAGCGCCCCCTTCCCTGTGTTGTGGACCAGGAAGGGGGCGGACAATCAAATCGACTATGGGAGTACCCTTTTTTGTTCCCAACTCTTTACATTATTGACAAACTTGCTGCAGAGCGAATAAGAAAACAGGCGCTGCTTACTCTTTGGTTTCCCGCCCCCGGGGGTAAAGAGTAAACTGTCATTCCTTATTCCGTAGTGTTTCGGCTTCCCCTCCACTCCCACCACAGTCGACCCACTTGGAAGGAAAAAGAATTCCAAGCCTTCTAAAAAAACCAGCAGCGAGGTGAAAAAGAAAGCTGGTGTCCCTCAGGACCCGGCCAGGGTTTGGGGTGTGGCCCACCTGGTCGGGGGGGACGATTGTCCCGGAGCGCCCCCTTCCCTGTGTTGTGGACCAGGAGGGGGGGGACAATCAAATCGACTATGGGAGTACCCTTTTTTGTTCCCAACTCTTTACATTATTGACAAACTTGCTGCAGAGCGAATAAGAAAACAGGCGCTGCTTACTCTTTATATATATATATATTATTTATACTGTATAATTTTGTTGTGAATTCTCCTGCTCATGATGAGCGAATTGATACTGTGAAGCAGCACACAAGACATACGGTTCCTTTGAACATCTCCAAACATGATCTTCATTCACCGGCCATTCGCGCCCATGAACTGAATCCGACTCTGACACTGAATTGTTGTAAGCCTCGGACATCGAGCATAAGGTAGCTAGATCTCGCACACGTTGCTCAATGGTCACAGTGTCTTCGCATGGAGGTGTGAACAAAAAGCAGGAGGTAGCAGTTGCATGCCCAAAAACCAGGGCATAGCCACGAGGATGAGTGGATGAGTGATGAGGGATGAGTGGTTTTTGGGCCCCGGCCAAGCCAGCGAGGTACATAGCTAGCTTAGTGGGGCGGCCAAAGGTTCTAAACTATCTCTTGGTTTGGGTGCAGCCTGCTTAATGTATTGCAAGAAAAACATAGAATAAAGTATCCAGTTTGAGTTCATTCCCCCAAAGATCTTGCACAGATTCTAGCAGAAAACACACTTTTTCATGCCACAGAACATCGCCTCAGACATTCTCTCTTCCGTCTCATCTGGGGGAAAGGACGGGAAGGGCAGTCGTACTTGGTTCTCGAGGCGCAGCTGTGTGACTATATTGCCAGCACTGACGATCTCAAGCTCACAGCAATGGTGTCAGAGATCTTCCACATGGACATTGAAGGAGAGACGGCGTTCATGTTCTGACTTTTGATGCCGTTCAGGCAAGCTGAATTTGGTGATGCTTGGGGCAAGTGGAGCCTTGCTACAAGTTCCTTTCCATTCCTTTCCATCTAGGGTTCTACAGTCCATGCTCCATGCTTCCGGGTTCGCCCTCCACCCATTCCAAGACTTCCCAAGTCTTAGGACACGTCTTAGCGTCTGAACGAGCCATTGCCTGGTCGGGACGTCCACCGTCCTTGTGTCGAACGTTCGCATGTTTGCAATAGAGCAGACGCACGGAGAGTATCCTGAGCAATGCAAAATCTTCGTAGCCAAGACAAGTTCGGCCTCATCGTCGCAAACCTGGAGCTCCATTCAAATAATAATATATAGGCGCAATCACCTTGCATGCAAGGCGCACAGGGGCAGTGCAAAACTAACGCATGCATTGCAGGGCGACCGGAGGTCCAACCCCAAGACAAAGTACATGCTTTATCATGCTTTTGGATTTGGGTAAGCTGGTAGCTTCCCTGAAAGGATTTGCGAAAGGGACCGGGACATGCCGTGATGCTCTTGTGATGAAGATCTTGAAGTACGTGTGAATGGTCAAAACCTGGAGCCCTCAACACCAGTAGGTTGACCTCCCTGGTAGTCCATTCTGTTCATTTTTTTGTGGCCAACCAAGGTCCTCGGTTTTGACCCACAGCCAAATATAGAGAGTATGAAAAGATGTTGCAACATGTTGGGTAAACTACGGGGGGTTTGCCCCGACTGCAACATGCAGAGGGTCAGAAAACCATGCGTTTTACAAGGTTTTGGGGGTTTCGGGACACTCAACTTGTCGTCTTGGAGTTAGTGAACTCCAAGGCGATAAGCTGAGTGCATTTTGAAGACCATTCAAAGACTCCTCCCACCTGGTCGATGACCTTCCCAATTGAGCCATGACAGCTCACTGTACAATTGAGCTGGCGGACAAGTGTCTTGCACATCCTCTCTGTGTATTTTCACAGCCTCTAGCATTGAGTCCAACCCTGGATGTTGCCGTGAAAAAACCCTCAAGTGCGCATTGGGGGAAGGGCACCTCAAACCGGCCCAACAGAACTAACGACAAACACAAACAAACCTCGAACGTCGAGCCCGTCATATCCTCTAAGACTCTAAGCCAAGAGCGCACCGCGAATGGCGCGAATTCGACGCGAACGAACGTGACGACGTCGGTCCAGAAGCGCGATGTTTGGCGAACGCGCAACGCGTAACACGAACGAAGCTGTCCGCAGCCCCTCCCAACCAGAAAACCCTGCTCACTCGTCGGAAACGTTTGCTTGCCGTCGGGGCAAGCCCCCCCCAACATGTTGCAGACGGACTCGGAAAAGTTGTCCGCATCCCCTTGGCCCCTTGAGTTGGGGAAGTTGTCATGCCTTGACCAGGGTGTAAACATGGGCAAACAGTAAACATCCAACAGAGAATGCGCGCGGATCTTTTCGGGGCCAAGTCCGGCAATCATGCCTGTCACAGTGCTGCGTGAAACGTGAGACACATGCTGCAGGAGGAGTTCCGTTTTCGCCCTTGCAAGCTGCTCTGAAGCTTCAGGCTAAGAGGACGGGAGTCTCCGCTTCAAGGCTTTGCGCGTTTGTCCGTTTTCCGTTCGCCGATCCGACTACTATGACTGCCATGCGACCATTGCGTTTGGTCGCTTGATGTGTTCCATGGGTTGTTCTTGCGACATGGGTTGAAGAGGTTGTGCGTCGTAAAAGGGTGGCTACGGCAGTGGGACCGCAGGAAAGGCTTCACAAGTGCTGGGTCTTTGTCCGAGGGCTTCAAGCAGATCATTTGTAAAGAAGGAATTTCCTTCGATGAGAAGCTCGAACAATGCAAGACGCTGCTCATGGACTCCAGCAGCGATTTGGTGGAGAGTTATGAGGCGCGCCACTACATGAAGTGACCAAATTTAGTCAGGACTGGTGTGGGCCACGTCCCAAAGTGTATTCCATGGCATCAGGTGGGGCCCAAAGTTGTTCTGTTTGAAGTTGACCAGAATGAGGTGCAAGTTCAAGTAAAGCTAGCCTACTGGACTCAGCGTTTGCAAGGCTTTGGTCGATCTGGCTGGCGCTTGCTCCGCGCTTTTGGCCTTGTCAAATCAGTCATCAGCATCGCTGACATCGCCTGATGAGCTACTGCAGCTTTCACCGTTGCTGATTCTGCTGGGCATTGTTCTGGGACAGGTGATGCGTCGAAATCATGCCTCCTTTGCTTCAAGCCCTTGAAAGAGGGTAGGAACCAGTGTTGCTGAGAAGTAGCAGGCAACATAGAACAAGAGAAACCTGCCATGACGAAAATTAACCAATATGTATAGCCTGTATAGCATGGTGCCATTTGGTGCCACTGAATAAAAGGTGTGTGCGACTGGCGATTTTGGGCCTCCAAGCTAGTTAACCACTTTGGAGCTTTTATGCAATCCTGCGAATTTGTCATTTCACTCTGTTTTGATCTGTTTTGCCCACCCTCCAGAATTGAGACTCAAAGTTCGGCAGTTCGACAGTTTGGCTCGGGTGCACCCATGAGAAGACCCATCACCCTAAAACGTGGCCGGAATGAATCAGAATGAGCCGTTCGAGCATACCTTCCGAATCAACATTTTCAGCACGATTGAAGGTGCTCCATGGTGCGTTGATGCACGTGTTTTCCAATTCTTCGCGGGAGCCGAGTGGAATACCAGCACGGCCCATCTGTCAGATCACGGGTGAGAGCGCCATTTGTTGTGACGTGTATATTTTTTTGACCCCGAATTCTAGACCGTGAATTTCCTCAAAACATGCAGCTTTTCTGGGGCTTCGGGGATGGCAGTTTGCTTTTCATCCTTCTTTCGGGCCTCTTTGCGGGATGACCAACTGTGAGAAAGGATGTGACATGTAGAATCAACCACAAAGCTCTTAAGATAGCGCCTTACTACCAGTAGCAAGAAGCTATTTGTAGCTCCTGGCATTACTAATAGGAACAAGAAGCTAATAACAAGGGGCATCGCTAGTAGTAAGGCGTTATTTGGGCAGTAAGATAAGCAGGCAACCCTGGTGCATCGAGAGTTCTTTTGCGATCGCGGAGATGAATTCGTAGCATGCCTCTCCTGAGCGTTTATGTAGCTCCAGATTGCCCAGACTGAACATGTCGATGAACATGGTTATTTCTTGATGTTTTGTTGTTTCTTGGTGAACGATGAGACGCCGTAGACGAAGACATGCTCGCTTTGCTTTTCTTGGCTGTGAAGGCCAAGAAGACGCAGCGAGGATGCTGTGACTTCGTTCGTCAGCCGTCTGACGAAGCTTTGACCACATAGTATGAAGCTGGATGAAGGTGGCTCAAATGAGCCACTTTAGATTGAGAAGCGCGAGGTCCAAATTCTGTTCTCGTTTTGGTTTGTTCCTCTCCATGGAGTGTGCGCCTATTTGCTTTGCTACTTGGGTGAGCTCACCTTTGTTGTTTGTCACGTGACCGCTTCTTCTTGCTGCAAGACTTCATCACAGGCTCTACATTGTAATCATTGTAACCTTCTTAAATAGCAGCACGTCCCCACCACATTGACCTGATACCACCAATCATCTACTCAATCTACTCATTCCTTTTGGTTTGTCGGGACAAAAGGAGAACTGATGTAAGCATGATTTGTCAGTTCCTCCAGTGTACACGGTGTACAGTACACAAATCACTCCACCTTCCGATGAAGAAAGGAGCCAACAAGCTGAGGCGCCAAAGTGCTTTGCTCGTTTCTTTGTTTTCGCCAGACCAACCGCAACTTTAAGACCGCGACGTGCGACATACGCGCTCCCGCAGGGAAAGTGATCCGACGCATGACACTACTGAGGCAGGGCCGGGAAGGCAAAACATGAAACGGGTTATGTCGTTTCCAAGGTATTTATTTTGCTCTCTTGGCCAGAGGTATGGTATGAATTGAGAATCTATATAATGAGCACACTTTTCCAGAACTAGTACCTATTCTTGATCATGTATGGCATCGTAAGTTTCAAAGATTGCAGGAGCCGCCGGTGCCTTGCGCAGCCGGCTCTCCTGAATGGCAGGAGAGAGAGAGAGAGAGAGAGGAGAGCGAGAGCGAGAGCGGGAGGGAGAGGAGAGAGAGAGAGAGAGAGAGAGTGGGGGGGCGCATACCGTGGTATTTGATGATTGCAAAATATTGCAAAATGATTGTTTGATGCAATGCACTCTGTTTTACCAGGGCTGCAGAAAAACAACGTCTCTGAAACATGAAGGTCAACACCAAGAAAGCTATGACGTGTTTGCAAAGCGTAGGTGATTTGGGGTAATCTTAATAGCAATCGCGACAAGCCTGAAAACCCTCACCTAACCGGACCTAACCACCTACCAAGCCACCAATAGCCACCCAGCAAGCGACCCAGCCAGTTCCCAGCACGCTGGTAAAACAAGCGGATGTCGAACACTTCCCAGTGTCCCTGCGAAGAAACCAGTGCAGAACGAGGAGAGAAACGAGAAACACAGGAGGGAAGAAACACACCGTGAGAGCCAATCGTCACCACCCAAACGCTCTATTCCAACTGGTCCCTCGAAACCTAGGGGTTCGAGACCCAGACTCCTCGAGATCGCCAAAGTTGTCCTGACTAACCTGTTGCGTTTGAGAGTCCAAAGAGTCCAAAAAGGAAGACAACTCAAAGGGAGAGAACAATTGGTCAGTCCACTGTGGGAGCCAACTCAAAGGGAGAGAACAATTGGTCAGTCCACTCTGGGAGCCAACTCAAAGGGAGAGAACAATTGGTCAGTCCACTCTGGGAGCCAACTCAAAGGGAG